AATATGCATTTAGAAAGTGGGAGTTCTGCATAAGTATGTTATCACTCCATAGATAACTAGTCTTTGGTATAGATTCCTCCAACTCTTCTTTCTACTCAACTGCTATGATAAAGTATTGTTTATTTTATGTTGTGGGGACATCCTAAGACAAGCAGAGGTTAATAAGCTCCTTTTCTACCTCAGAGCACAGTCTAGAGAGACCACAATTAAGTAACCTAATGCCAGTCATGCCAGACACAGCCACAAACACTTCCCAGTGATTTCCCTGACTTAACCAGGTGACCACAGAGTCTTTCCAGGATTCCACAATAGTTGCTTAGGTGTTTTGTTAAATACTCTGAAATGCACTACCTTTGCTTTCAGATTCTTAGGGTTAACAGAAAAACACAACAATGGAACGGTATCACACAAAATGTGTGATTTAGGACTCCCAACCCTCCCTTCAAGTTACAGATTCTTTTAACAAAATCAGTGCTCATTGTGAAACTAGCTGTCAGTGCTTCAGCCTACGGTCAGTTCTCCAGACTGGAAATGAGAGCTTCATAGGTCGCATCAGTTCCTCAGCACAATCCACAAACTCACTGCCATTTTTTGAAATGTTCTCTGGGATGGGTTGCCAACCACAGGGATTTTGCACCTTTAATACAGACTCCACAGTCTTTAACAAATTTGGCCTCCCTGCTCTTCACAGATCATGAGGTGCAACCAACTCTACCCAGCTATCCTAGTCCTGTTCCCACCGCCGCATCCAACATCACTGTCATATACACCATCAATAACCAGCTGAGGGGAGTGGAGCTGCTCTTCAATGTGACCACCGAAGTTAGTGTGAGAGGTGGATCCGTGCTACTTGTGGTCCTAGAAGAAGCAAAACGCAAAAATCCCATGTTCAAGTGAGTGCTCCAAGTGGCGTTAGCCTTTCTCCCCAAGCCTAACCTGAATTCCCATTTTTTCCTCCCTCTTTCTTTCATTTCCTTACTTTTTAGGAAAAATAATTTTTCTCATAATTTAACAGATTTTTATTTTTAATAGCTCCTTGAGAGCCTGCAATCTCTCATGAAAAATTAAATCACACAGGTTACTATATTATAGAGTTTTAAAAAACAGGAATTCAAAGGAGTGAGAGTCCCTTGTGGATTAGAATAGTCAAGAAGGCTCATGACTTTGTACAGCATTCAAAGAATAGGTGCTATACAGGAAATGTGAGAGGGTGGTGTCTATGGAGAGGGAACGGCTAAAACACAGCATTCAAGACAGGAATGGGCAAGGAATTCAGGACCAATGGATAGGCCAGCTTGACAAGAGAATTTGAGATTTAATTGAGCCTGGAAGGATAGATTGGGTGATAATATAAAAAGCTTGAAATACGAGGCTAAGGAGACTGGATGTCACATTGCACAGAAGCATTGCAAGATTTGAATATGAAAAGTCATGTTGTAAAATGTGAAATTCCAGGGCATGTATGACTACAGTAATGAAGCTATAAAGTGATGAGGACTTCATCTCGGACACATGGACTCATAGCAAGGAGTCCACAGGGCTGTGTGAGTGCTGGATGTGGGGGTCAAGAGAAAGAAGCTTCACCACTATTGACAGGAGTGTCAGGAATAGAGAAGGACTTTTAGAGCAAAAGGCAATTCCTCTGGATATATTTAATTGTGAATGTTTGAAAGAGACACATTCGGAAGCTTTTGGAGGTATAGAGGAAGTTCCAGAAAAAGAAGTCAGGACAATCAAAAGAGACGGAACACAAAACCTAGACAGAGCTAATTATCCCCACTTTATAGACAGACTCACTTAGGCCCAAAGAGGTTAACAAATATTCCTAAGGTCACATAACATGTAACTACTAGAGTTGAGATCTGAACCCAGAGCTGAGCCACTCTGAAGTTCATCTTCCTTCTATGCCCTGCTGGGAGAGGGTAGAACACAGAAATAAATCACAGAAGAGAAAATGAGACTTTGTAGAATATTGATTGTTTGCAAAAAGAGAAAGCAGTAGAGAAATTTAAAGAAAACTTAGCTATTGAAGGAGTAAAGGGGAAATGTCCGGTCAGAAAAGGACAAAAGGAGAAAACATCAAAGGAAAAATGACATGATCCAGATTCTGCACGGCAATGTCAAGGAAAAAAGCTGACAAAGGTCAAGGTTAAGTCATTTATCTGCTGCCCACATCCCACCTCCAAACCTTCCCTAATTTCTATAGACAAGTCAGGATAAAAATTGCATTTCAAGAATACTCAAACAACCCTCTGAATATACTTTACTTCTGTGAGCTTGGCTTTAATTTTGCCTGATTTTTCTTTTTCTGACTGTAAATGTAATTAAAATATATATAGAAGTTTTTTGAGGGGGAAGCATAAAGACGGAAACAAAGCCTTTATAGTCCATCCACAATATAATTACTGTTGCTATTTTTTATAATTTTGTAGGTATTTTTCTCTATGCATCTTACAACTAGTTGTGATCCACTATATACAGGGGACAGATTGATATTTCATATAAAATGTGAATCCCACATTTTCACTTAACATTACTGCATAAGCTTCCTCCCATGTCACTGAAAATGGTTGAAAAATACAATTTTCACAGTTGTAAAATATCCAATGTTGGATGTTCATGCCATTGCTCACCTAATTATTTGCCCTTTGTTAGACATTTACACATTTTAATTTGCTTATTGATAGTTTGGTTTTAAATCCATTCATTTAAATTTCAACTAATTCCAAGTGATTTCATATTTTTCAATCATTTGCATTTTTTCTTTTAAGCATGATTTTACCTGATCTTTAAATCATTTCAATGTCCCTCCCTTCATCTTAACCCTTTATTGCCTGACCTAAAGTGAGGTATTAATCATACAGATGGTTTTATTCTTCAGATTCGAGACCACAATGACATCTTGGGGCCTTATGGTCTCTTCTATCAACGACATCGCTGAAAATGTGAATCACAAGACGTATTGGCAGTTCCTCAGTGGGGTGACACCTTTGATTGAAGGTGGGAGAATAGAAGAAATGTGGGCATTTCCTCCTTCCAAGGCTACATATTTCTTTTCCTTATTTAATTAATCCATTCATTTCATCGGTAAATAATTGTAAAATTGTATGTGCATATACAATAATTATATGTAGAGCAGTTGTATGTACGGACATGCACAAACATATTATGAGTACATATATGGTGTATATGTACACCATATATGGTGTACATATACGCCATAGATACACAGATAGATAGATAGATAAGTAGGATGGATAACTACCTAAAGTAGGTTTTTAAAAAAGTCCAGAATCCTAACTCCACTCTGGGAAAATATCTAGTGAACAAAAAAAGTGGATTGATCTACTTAAAACAATAAGAGCTGAAGAAGGAAAAGGCAAATAATGGGAGATAGACCAAAAAAAAGACACAAAAGTATTATGTGATCGAAGACGATGGCCACCTTGGGACTGAAAACATAAACACATACGTATAAAGCAAACACACGGTGAACGCACGACCAGCAGTAAACAACTACGAGGGACAGAATAACAGCCATTCGTGTAGCAATGTCACATTTTTTTTGTTTCACGCACCTGCTTGGTAGGTGTTAGTGACACTCTTTTAACAGAAAGAAATGAAGCCTGAGAGACAGGAAGGGGCTTGCACGAGGCACACATCCGTGTATGTCAGAGCAGAGTCCGGCCCAGAGCGCATGAGCTCTATACCACAGCTTCACTCACAATCCACTCTCCGCCTTCCCTGCTGTTACTGTTTTGTTTTCACATCTCCAGGGACAGGAAAGCCTGTCCATGCATTGTGCAGGGGGAGAGCAGGACAAATAAATCCCAGAGTTTAGCAAAACTTTTTTTTAATTGTTGCACAAAAACTGGAATTTCCTCCATGTTAAGGGGCAGTGGTGTGTGGCTTTGTCTGAGCGTGATGTTACTTGGTTAACCTGCCATTGTCACTGTGCAGAGAGATGCGAAGCCAAACAAAGTCGCAGCATAGCCGAGGCTGGGCTCTGTAAAGATGCTTCAATACCCAAGATTCCAGTGGGAGGGATGTTTTTCTGACAGTCTGTATCATATATTTAACAAAATCTGGCTAATCAGAACTTGTGGAATTGCGGCAGAGCCTGTAATAAGGACCTTAGAGCCATGTGGGCCTTGGTTAGAAGCTCTTTCTCTGATTTACTAGCTGCATTTGGCAAGTAGTAAATCTTCTCTCAGCCAGTTTCCACAGCCGTAGAATGCACATAGTAATCACCACTTCTTGCATTATTGTGAGGATCAGCAATAATGTATTTAAAATGAGTAAGTGCAATGTCTTTTGCACAGCATGTGTTCAAAATGCTAATCATTATTAGTATCAGTTCCCCTGCCACCTTCATCTCAAGAATTGCCTAGGGAACTTAACTCAGGTTTATTCTCAAGTGGTCAATTGTTACTCTTCTCTGAAGGAGGCAATGGGAAACAGAAAGTCCTCAGAGGTCCAAAAGGATTTGGGCCTGGAACCGTTATTCGTTTGGATGCCAAAGCTAATCATCAACATTGTCATCATCTAGCTTTCCTGCCCTGAAAGACAAAAATTCTCAAAAACATCAAAAGTGAACTCCAGTTCCTGCCACAAATGCTCAAAAGCTGGCTTAAATAAGCCATTTTCATAATAATCGCCATTTATTGAACACGTGTATGTCAGGTACTATACTAGGCATCTAGTAGTCATTATTCTAATCCAGGGTAAATATTACTTGTGCCATTTCATGTATGAGGCTCACACAATGTAAGGGGTTTGCCAAAAATCATGCTCCACGTGGCTGCCTGGAGCCTGGAAACAAGGGCTCCCCAAATCTCAATTCCACACCCCTTCCACACTCACCAGGCTGCCCATTTCACTTCACAGTGACGTTACTTCTCTAATGATGGGCCGATCCTCTGGGAGGAGGGAATGGTTATAAGCACCTTGGCAACCTCCTGTCCCTCTGTGCTTGTTTCCAGGAGTTGCTGACTACGTACCTTTCAATCACGAGCACATCACAGCCAATTTCACCCAGTACTAAGGACAAGGTGGTTCACGTTCTACTGGACATCTCTCCAAAGGATGGCTGGAATTTTTTTCGCATCATTTCGAATCTATGCCAAACAGTGGACATCTGTGGTGGTACCATATTCCTGGAAAAACATGGAAACTGTGTGTAGAATAAATGATGCAAACTTCTCTAGAGTCTTAACATCTGTGACCTGTGAAAACAAAATGTGGCTTCTTGAAGGCATTGACCACCAGTTTCAGTCAAACCTAGGGTGACGGGAGATGATGGGACAGCCCAGCTGATGTTTGGGGGGACCAATCTGAGCTTGATTAATCAACCAATGCACTCCTCTATTTTTGCAAATGAAGTGATATATTTTAGAAACTGCTATGTTTGCATGATATAGCAAGTACTCTTTTTCTAACCACTTGTGTGAACATATAAACATACACATACACATGAAATGGCCAGAATTACTTCATGAGACCCCCAGATAGTTCAGAATGAAGCAAATGATATTAATGTCATAACTGTCCACTTCCATTTCCAATATTTGTTCTGGGTAAATTCAAGTTTAAATGGATACTTTTATATAATTTATATATGAGTACACATTTAATTTAAATATAATTTGTATTTAACATTTAACACAAAATGTAATATATTTTAGATAGTAAATATAGATATACATCTATAATTCCACCTCATATAAATATATATAATTTTACACACTAAATACAGATAAATCTAAAAACCCACAATATATGTTGGCATATGTATACATGAAAGCTTTAAAAGACAATCATAATTCTAATCTCTGCTGTTAAGAGTCAACACTGCCACAAACTTTTTAGAGAAGAATATGAAAATTTGAATCAAACACCTAGAATACACTCAACTTTGACCCTCCAAATATCCCAATTCTGAAAGTTATATAAAAGGGAGAATGATAAGTGAACACAGATATACAAGATCAAAATGATGGAACAATTAAAGTATGAACCTTAGATATGCTATTACAGTATATATATGCTTTAAATATACATACTGTATGTATATATATATATACACCAAATACTTTTTGCTCATTAAAAATTATACACAATTTAAATACAATAGACATCTGTCTCAATTTGCTCATTCATTTGTGTCCTAGAAGCTTAGAAAAAGATACACTCTCATATATATATATGTATATATATACACATATATATAACTCTCATATATATATACACTCTCATATATATATAAATATAAAGATACTCTCATATATATATAAAAAGATACACTTTCATATATATATAGTAAACTCCAGAGCGGACAGACCTAACGGCCCTGTCACAGGTCTCCTGCCCCCACCCCCACCCCTGCATCTCACTGCATCTCAGAGCAAAGACCTGCTCTCTGGTACCAGTCTGGCTCCGGGAGAGAGAGGTGTGAACCACACAGGCTCAGGTTCCATCCTAAACACACCTACTAGGCAAGTCACTATATCCCCCCAAAAGGCCAGGACTGTTACTGAAATGAAGGAACCCTTAAGGAGTGGTAAATAGTGCTCTCTCATAACATAACATAACATAACATAATGTTTATAACATGGAAAAAATGTCCCAGAGGAGATATGATGGGTTACTTAAAAGTCACTAAAACTCAAGTAGAAAATAAACACTAGCCGACATGACAAGACATTCACGTGAAGGAAGCAGATGACATGGCATTACGTAATTACACCTACGTCAGAGAGGTACAGTGGTTCTCTCTGTGAGGTAGAATTATTGAAGACTGACTTTGCTTGCTTCTCTGTTTTCTAAGTTTCCTCCATTCAATACATGATCATGAGCAACTGGAAAATGGGAAGATTTACTTTAAACAAAGACTTTTTTCTTATTTAACCATAAATTAGGCAACGAAAATAACATGTGTGCGCACACACGCACAAGAGTCATGCCCCAAGGGCAGAAAAAGAGCTTCCCAGACAAGAAATAACTAAAGGTGTTAGTTCATCATCACCAAACCATGATTATATGAAATGTTAAAAAAAAAAACTTATTTAAGAAAAAGAAGTTCAAAACTATGAACAATAAAATGGCAATAAATACATATCTATCAACAACTGAATTGAAAACACAAACTCAGCAAACAAGAATCATGAATACAGAGAGGGTTTTGATGGTTGCCAGATGGGCGGGGGGTGTGGGGGAATCAATAAAAAAGTGAGGGGATTAAGGAGTACAGATAGGTAGTTACAGAATAGCTATGGGGATATAAAGTATGTTATAGGAGATGGATTAACCAAAGAACTTATATGCATGACTCACGGACGTAAACAATGGGGGGGGGGGCACACTACCTGAGGGAGTGAGGGGTCCTGGGTGGAGGAGGGCAAAGGGGAGAAATTGGGACAACTGTAATAGTATAATCAATAAACTATAATTGACAAAATTTAAAAAACAGTCCTGCCTGCAATTTTTGCTCTCATGATAGGAACTGGAGGAACAGCAGTGTGGGAGACAGTGAAGAGGGAGACAGTCACAGGCTGGTTTCACACATGAAAACCTTATTTTAGCTACCTGCCTAGTAATCCTGTGTGTGTTCATCCGTATCTGCAGGGGTGGGAGACAGGGAAGTGATACTGACCTGGGATCCACTACAACAAGTTGTAATTCCGCTTTGAGTAGTGCCTTAATCAAATGTAGCCATGGTCATTATTGCAGAAGGCACAGTGCCCAAGGCCACATTTCAGTTGTTGCAGTGACTAATCAGAAGCGCTTTTTGTGACCTCTACTGGCCATGGCTGGTAAAGCCTAAACTTTTACTTAGAGGTGTGGTCAGTTATGCAAATTTGTGAAGATGCAAAGGAGAAAGGGAGGAAGGTTGCTACCAAGTACTTTTTGCTCATTAAAAATTATATGCAACTTAAATACAATAGACATCTGTCTCAATTTTCTAATCCCATTTGTGTCCTAGAAGCTTAGAAAAAGATCCACTCTTGTTCTAAATATTAAAAAATTTAGGCCCATATAAATGATTTGCCCAATATCCTCCTGGAATAATTATTTTAACTTGATATCAAGTTATGATATTTTCCATTCACTGGAGTCTCTGGAGTCACACAGACTGTGTTCAAGTTCTACTTGTACTGTTTGCAAACCTGAGAAAATTAGATTCTTGATGCTCAGGATGGAATCTTCGAAAATGGGTATAACTTATCTTGCGGATTTGTTGGGATGACTAAATGCCGGACACACTGTTACCGAACAAGAGGTCCGAGGGAGGGGCAATACAATATTTGGCCCACCTAGGGATGCCAAAAACTGCTATACAACAGGGGCCCCTCCCAAGGACAGAATACTGATATCTACTGGGCTCTCCTGTCCGCCGCCAATTGGAAAGATATCTCTCAATGCCAGAGATTTGTGAAAAGGAAACAAAATGTTTATTTAATGCTATTCAGGCCCAACACCTCTACTAAAATATCAGAGTCCTTTAGGGTATACTCCTACACCCACACAGCGCTCCCTTCTCCCACTGTCCCAACTCCGGGTACCGTAAATCAGGAAAGGAACACACGTCTGTGTTTCAGGCCTCTGGCACCATCAGCTGTATCACCATGTAGGCAGGATCTCTCATTAATCCAATCATGTGGCACCTTCTCACGGTCCACTGGCAAGAGTTCTTTCTACCAAGTTCTAGTCAAAGTCTCTCCTGCTTTCCAGGCCCTGCGGCCAAAGGGGGCACCCCAAAGCTGCGTGGGCCTCTTCTACCAAAGCTGCAGGGGTTCACACTCCACCAAAAGCATGTGGCTTTCTCCTTCACCTGGCTGCAGGGATCGCCATTCTGCAAAGCTGCGTGGTTTTCCCTTTCACCTGGGCAGTTCTCCCCTCATGTCCTGGAGCCCATCTTTTCCAAGCTCTCACACAGGTGCTTCTCTCTCAAGGGCACAGCCCCTAGTTTCATCCTGGGTCGAAGACACTCCCTTCTCCCTGGCTCAAAACCTGGCCACTGCCATTTAACATATCCAAAGGCTATAGGTATGTTAAAAGACAATGCCATGGATTAGCTGCAAGGCTGTGGCTGTACAAAACAGCCCTGCATGTTCCTGCTCCATGTGTTCCTTCCCCCAACTCACACCTGTGGGGGGGAAGGGGCAAGGACATCTTATATGTCTCTCCAATATTCCTATACACTTTGAATTCTGAGCACCATTCCAAATCTTTTTTGCTCTCCCCCCATCCCAGCTGCACCCTATATCAACATGGCAAGCACTCAGTAAATGTTAATACAATGATGAATCAGTCTTTGAGGGGCACCCTTGAGAAGTGTGATGTAGTGAATTGTAAGGAACTGTAAATTGTAAAATATAACATGAATGAAGCCACTTTAAAATGAAGTCAGAGCTGAAATCCAAGATGAATTGCCTTGCACTTCTTACTCCTCAAACCTTTGTAAGGTCAAAACCAGGTAAAATAACTTTTGTACTGGGCCTACAGCTGCTCTGTATTACAAACAACTATTTGCAAAGAAAACAGGAAAGCAGACATTGTAAGTATTGACCTGAAATTTAAAACACTTAGAATTAGGCGCCACTGTGTCCTTTATCGGCATCTACAGAAAGTCCTTCCTTCTATTCACACAATCATGCCCCTTCCTTTTCTCATAAATAACCCTTGCCTTCAACTCCCAATTTAAATATGATTGGGGTTTCTTCCCAAAACATTGCTTCGCAGAATTATAATTCTTTTGAGATTTCAGAGGTTATTGCCTCTCGCCTAAACTTTTTTACTTTTAGGTTAACAGAACCAAATTGCTGTGTGAATCCAGGTTTTCTCAGCACAGTAATCCGCGGAGAAAACACCGCGTCCCGCGACCCTCATCTAGGAAAAGACCCCAAACTGGATGCAGACCCCACAGCATCAAAGAGGACTCCTTCCAGACCAGCAGGAGCCAGCACCGGAACCCATGCCCAGAAGCTCGAGTTTCTTCTGCTTCCGTGGGGACACTCTTCGGAAGGCACCCGCGCAAATGCAACTTCCGGCCCATCGGAGAGCGGTGTGAGCGAATTCCGTAGGGTCCTACAGTGCTACACTCTGGGTGAAGGTAACCTCCGTGGTCGCTGTGGGAGCTCGGCGTGGCTGGACACGCGTGACCATGTGGCGTCTGCTGGCTCGCGCCAGCGCGCCCCTCCTGCGAGTGCCTTTATCAGGTCAGACGTCCGCTCGGACCCACCGGCAGTCAGTTTTTTCCACCCCATGCCCTATCCTTTATCGCGCAAGCTCAGAGAAGTCCTGCGGATGGTTGCCGAAGCGCCGGTAGGGGCTGCGCTTTGCTGCCGCCCCTCCTGCCATAGGATTCGTGCAAAAGGGTTCCAGCTGCGGGGGGGGGGGGATTGGCGCCCAGAGATCCCGGCTTGGTGGTCTCTTTGGGCGCGTGGGCCTGCGAACCCATTTAGTGGAACCCGCGTCCCACCCCTCATGACACCTCGATCGGGAGTGCCTTTGGCCCAGAGTGTCTATGACCCCGGCCTTGTCGCCTTCCTCGTTTAATTTGATTTGTCTTCGTACAGATCCTTGGGCAGCGCCGCCCGCCAGTGCTGGCCTGAAGACGCTGCTCCCGGTGCCGACTTTTGAGGGTGAGAGGTGATTTGTCCTTTTCACGTTTGTAAGCGGTTTGTCTGGTGGAACCCAGCGCGGGGTTGGGGTGAAGACAGAGTGTTCTTATGCTTTCCATCTCCATTCACTCATTCAATAAGTATGTATTGAGGGCTTTCAGTATGCCAAGCAGTGTTCTAGTTAAAGAACAAAGCAGTCCCAAAGAGGTCCCTGCTTTTATGGAACAAATGTATAATGGGAATGCTGTCCCTGTCCACCCTCAGCTCGGGCCAGTGGGCCTCAAATTTAGACTTTAGATGTTCTCTCCAAATGAGGTTACATATATGCAGCCACTTAACAAGATTATGTGAAAAGCATTAATTTGTTAAATGTAAATGTTGACGGTAAGCTGCAATTTTGTAAATCTAATTTCCTTTAAAAACTATATATTGGAAATCGCAATGCAAGGGGCCTGGACCTCTGAGAGCCTTATCTTCTACACGTAACTGTTACACTACTGCTTGCTCCGGAAGTACGTGTGGACTTGTAGGCCGAGGGGGCATCACTGTTTCTCTCTGGCTTCGTGTAGAAACTTGGGGGGGGGGGGGGCAGTTTCTGTAATTCTGAATAACCCGTTAATAACTTGATATTTCCTTGAAGTCTTCTGTTTTATATGTGACTCCATGGTAGAGTCATGCTTTACTATAGAAATAATTTACAAGTTCATTTTTTACCCAAACGCCAGACACGATAGATGTAGGGTGTCTTGACCTGCACGTCAGCCCACCCACCCTCACCCAGCACGCCGTTGCATGTGGTAGGATGTGTACAAGCCTCTACAGAGGGCCCCTGCCTGAGGAAAGGGAAGAGCACTGACCTCAGGAGTCCTAGGTCATAAGTTGCCCACCAAGAACGTGGCAGAGCAGAACTGAGGTGTTTTCATGTACAATGTAGTATTCTTTCCACAACCCCCGTTAACATCCAGAGAGGCAGCTTTTTAAGTGTCATACTGTGTGGCTTTGCTGTGTTAACTGGATGGCCTAAACCAAATTAGAATCTCTCTCCAGGCTTCTAGTTCCTCTTCTGTGAAATGGAGATTAAAAATGCCACCTGCCTCGTGTTCTGTGTCTTGGTCTGAGAGATAGTTATATGGGTGTGTTTAAGCATCACTCTGGGGTAATTTCCTGAGCTGCATGGTTTTTTATTTGGCCCTTTGATATATGTGTGTACAACCAAAAAGTTCAAAACTTGTATAAAGAAAGCCCTAAAAAAACCAAGACTATAAAAGTTGTTTTAAAAGATTAAATGAGATAATGCATGTAAAGCATTCAGCTCAATTCTAGCACTAAGTTAAAAAAAAATGTTGGCCAGTGTTATCCTGTGAGTCTTGTGTTACTATACTGTCCCAAATGGTCCCTTTAGAGTGTTAGGCACAGAGTAGGCATTTAAAAATGCATGTGGGTTTAAAAGCAAAAACTTTGCTATCGTCAAAGATTCAAAAACATTTACATGAGCCAATGTCATAGCCAGAGGATCCCAGTGTCAGCAACAGCATCCACAAGAAAAAACTAACGTCATTTTGGAACTATTATTCCATAGTAACTTTTATTTAACACTTTCTCCTGGTTGCTACAAACCTTTCTAGGAAGAAGATGAATCCTTGGAGATGTGCAGTTCACTTATCCTTAATTGTGCTTCTTTCAGATGTTTCCATTCCTGAAAGGCCAAAGCTGAGATTTGTTGAAAGGGTACCACTTGTGCCGAAAGTCAGAAGAGAACCCAAAAACTTACGTGACATACAAGGACCTTCTACAGAAGCTACTGAGTTCACAGAAGGCAACTTTGCAATCTTGGTGAGTTGAGCTCAGCATCAGGCAACTACAGGGTGGGAGCCAGATCACCATAATCTCATACTTGGTGAGTCTCCGCCTTCACTGGTTTTATTAAAACTGCCACCTGTTTGTTGCCCTTTAAACCGATGTGCAACAACCAGTAAACATTTGAGTTATGAATCTTTTTTTTTTAATATAGAGTAAAAAGAATGTAAAAGCAGGGCAAGAAAGAGGCTACCTAATTTACTCCAGAATCAGCTATGAGATCTTTTCAGGCCTCTGGAAAAATAAAACTATGCAATATTTAGCCTGTGAGACAGCTGTTCCCTTACTCAGTAGCTTCCATGAGGGCTTGAATGTCAGTAGCTGCACAAATGTGTGTGGGCTGGGCTTTATTTCCCGTCAGGCATCCAGAGCAATGTTTTAAAAGTCCTTTTCCCACAGCCTGCACGATCAGCCTCTGCCTGCCTTGCAGAACCTCACGTTCAGACGCCAGCCCATGTTCCGCACTCTCCTTCAGTCACACTGGCTTCTCCAACTCATCAAGCCTTCGCCAACACCACTCCTGCTTGCAACACTTTTCTCTCCTCCTTTGGCCCTTTCTTACTGTTCTGGCCTCAGCTTTGAATGTCACCTCCTCAGAGAGGCCTTTCCTGGCTACTCATGAAGTGGGTCCACCCTTGTTCTCACTTAGTACTCAATCCTAGGCTTTCCATGGTACTTATTAGAACTCTTATTTTCATGAGTCCTTTTGAAGCCACAGTTGCCATAAAAGACATAAGAATAGAGCCTATAAAAGATATCTAAATCCCCATGTGCTTCTAATTCTTCCATTGACTTTTAGGCACTGGGTGGTGGTTACCTGCACTGGGGCCATTTTGAAATGATGCGCCTGACAATCAACCGCTCCATGGACCCCAAGACCATGTTTGCCTTGTGGCGAGTACCACCCCCTTTCAAGCCCATCACCCGCAAGAGTATGGGACAGCGCATGGGGGGAGGCAAAGGTGCCATCGATCACTACGTGACTCCCGTGAAGACTGGCCGCCTCATAGTAGAGATGGGGGGACGCTGTGAATTCAAAGAGGTACAAGGTTTCCTCGACCAGGTGGCCCACAAGTTGCCCTTCCCAGCAAAGGCGGTGAGCCGTGAGATGCTAGAGAAGATGCGGAAAGACCAAGAGGAACGAGAGCGTAACAACCAAAACCCCTGGACCTTTGAGCGCATAGCCACTGCCAACATGCTGGGGATACGGAAGGTACTGAGCCCCTATGACCTGACCCAGAAGGGGCGATACTGGGGCAAGTTCTACCTGCCTGAACGCGTGTAGTGAGAATGTGAGAGATGAAGGCACAGGGGGAAGGAGTCTGCATTTGTGTTCCCTCAGCCCGCCCTGAGGCTTTGGGGGGCTCTGGTGTCAGAACCAGGGAGCAGCGTGCAAGTGCTGTGGGTGACCTCTGGGAAAGTGATTTAAGTGCACTATGTATACACTAAATAAAATTTGAGTATCAGTCACGTTATAACTTCTCGTCGGTCACCCTTAATCCCTTCAATGATGAAGACACAGGCCTGAGGAGCCCTCGGGAGCCCTGGCCCTCCCTGGCTGTGTGGCAAACGTCTGCAGGGCTCCAGCTGGTGGTGGCATCTCCCACCTCTGACGCAAGTCAGACGTAATGTCTGCACTAACTCTGACATGCACCACCGTGACAAGCACTCTGACTGGCTTCAGAAGCCAGTTTCCGTAACATATTATTATTTACAAAAACAAACGTTTGTGGGAAAGCAAAGGAAAAAATGACAGTACAGAGGTTAATGCAACAGGTATTTATTTATGCCCAGCTACCCATCTTCTCTCGATCTTGGAAGCGGGGACGTTGGACAATACAGCCAGGAACACACCCTGGCCTCTTAGCAAAAGGAACTGATAAAAGTAGAAATTGTGTGGCCCTGCCCAGGTTTGAGATTCTTTGAGGAGGAACAGTGGCTCTGCCTTTGTGTCCCTGCAGGTCCTCGTCCAGTGCCGTGTCCCCACATCACACTCAGTGGTAACTGCTGGGTAAATGAGGGCCCCAAGGTTGCAGCTCCCTTTGACTTTACCAAGATTAATCTATTGTTCAGAAGTAGCCAGCAGCAGCTTTCTATCCACTGTTCAAACTAAAGGCAATACAAAGTGACAGAAATATTAAACCACTTGTTTTTGAAAGGGGGTAGACTGTACACCAACTAAAAGTGTCAAATGTTTTTATCCCGCTTTCTTTAAAAGATCCCCTGTAAAGAAAAGCATTCACTTTCAAAAGCTCACATTTATCTCAACAGTGTGTGGTCCTCAAAAGTTGTGTACTATTTTTAGTGTAAGTTTCGTTAACCTCTTGTAATATAATTACTAAATTGCATAGAACAAACAGGAACCTTGAATTGGGGACAGTGTGTGGAACAGCTTTGGGGGCACACTGCTGGCCAAGTCAGTTCCAGCTAGCAACATGCACCAGGGGAAGATGTGAGTGAGAGTCTCACCTCGCCTTTCTCACCCAACACCTTCGCCTCCTTCACAGCGCGCGGTACTGCTGGCCGCCGCGGGTCCAGCCTTACTCTAAACCTGTTACTGTTGTTCTGGACCCATGTTTACTTCACTGGACCACCATCCTGGAGCCAAGCACCTCAGCAGAGTGAGAGGCCACCATCACCACCCGCAGAGAGAGGACTTTACAGTGCAAGCTGCTGTAAGGGGGTCCTGTTTCACAGAAGTAGATCACCCCATTCCAGGCATTTTATGCAGCCTCTGGTACTAACAAACTATATCCCACTGGTGCCTTAAAGGGTATGTGAGTCAACTCCAAGGACTTGTCTGTGAGCAGAAACCAGATCTTAACTACAGGTAATTAAGTGGACAGACAGTGGAGCACCTGTCCAAGGCAGGCCCTGTGCTGAGCACAGGACACAGCACTGAGCAAGACGTGTGTGGTGCCTGTCACTGCACACTCCACTCTGAAGACCAGTGGGCCCTGATGGAGGAGGCAGACGCGGGACTGGGGAAGGGTGGGACCCAGAAGAACCTGAAGAGGAGTATCAAGTGCCCTGACCCCGGTGAGCTGGCAGCAGTGAGCCGAGGTCCTGTCGAACCAGCTGTGCTGCAGCGTCTGCCCTCTTTCCTGACCACGGTGCCTGTGAGCCTGCAGCCCACTCCTTTAAACCGTCTTTCCGACCAGCCAGGTGTCTCTGCTCTGTCCCTTCACGCCTGCCCGCCACCCGGCTCTGCATGGTCATGAGCCTCCCCCTGCATAACTTCCTGTAGGTGGTCGATGGACGATGCCCTGTGTGGTAAGAGGTTTCGTAATGGAAAGAGGAGTCGCTGTTGAGGAATCCGCAGTGGGAAGTGATGGCACCACCGAGGGGGGAGGAGGGTTAAAAATGCCAGTCGCGGATCCAGCTGCAGGGGCTGAAGGAGACAACAGAAAGACGGGAAAGTCATACGCCACACAGCACGGTGTCGAGATCAGGGCCATTCTGCCACCAGACCTGGTGTGGTACAGGTCGTCCCCTCTGTCTCCCTGTCTGCCTCCTACCAACTCATTCTTCGCTCACTTTTCTCACTTCTCAGCATTCTCCAACCTTCGTCTCCTCTAACACCTGGTCCCGCCCAGATTAGGGCACCTGGTGACAGACAAGGAATGCCCGCAGGACGCGAGTGTTTCAGGCACACAAGGGCAGGCCTCACCCTCCCCACAGATGGCTCACCTTTTTCAGGCAAATATGCCCCCAAGGGTAGAAGCTAAGATGATTGCAAGGATGACACAGCAGATCATGATCATGACCTTCTTCTGCTTATCCAGACGAGGAAAGAAAAAGCACATGAGAAATAACATCACCGTGCAGGTCCAGGTCCCAAGGAAGGGAGGCAGCGTGGGTCTGGACGTGACAGAGGACATGAAGGAGGGGACCTGGATCTGGCTTCTAGAGCCCAGGGTGTGGGATGTGACTTCCAGGTGAGCAGTTCAGTTGACAGCCCGCTCCCAGGACAGCGCTTCAAGTGTCCCGCTGTCTAGACCCTGTCACACTGATTCACCCCATTGCCCCCGGGGCCAGTACCTCCAATGAGGGGGCCAAATTCTCCTCGGGGGAGCACTCAGCCCTGCAACTCAAATGGTTACACCACACTCCGAGAGTCGAACTGTTTTCAAAAATTAGAACCTCTGATCCACCTGACCCAGAGCATGTTTAAAAAAGATTGAAACCCCTGTCCAAAACCTAAACAAAAGCCACCACATGATGGCACCCAGTCACCAAGTACTTTTCAGGGAAATAGAGCCAGAACTGTTTCACAATCACTATAAAGTCATTTATTTTTAAATAGCAATAAAATAATCAAGTTTACATCTTTAAAAACATACAAACAACAAAACCCTTCACTTACTGTATTCCAAACTATAAGCCCTAGACCTCAGTCTCAGCAGAGCAAAAGCCTGTGATTAGAGTGTGTCTGGCCTTGCTGCGGGAGCCAGTCTGCTGTCGACTTCACAGCCACGGGCACGGGGGGTGTGCCCTGGGCTCCATCTGAGTGCTGGGCCATGACTGGGAGGAAGCAGCCTTTGCAGAGGCAGCCAGTGGGCAGTGCCTGGGTGAGGGTGCACACCCTGTCTTAGAAAGCATTAAAATCAATGCTGAAATATATTAGTAAATCAGACAGACTGGCAGGGACCAGCAGGGAATCAGAGACACCACTGGGCCAGCACAGTTGCTACATTTGAAAATGTCCTGGCTGTTGCTTTGCTTCCTCCCTGACAAGAACTGGGGGGGACAAAGAACCTGTCCAGCTCACTAACCCAGTAGAAAGAAGAGCAACTCAGTAATCCCTGGTGTGCCCCAACTGACTCAGCCCCAGAGAGAGGACGTTCCAAAGGCCACACGAATGATACCAAATTGCTCTGGGATGTTCCCAGGGCGAGCCCAGCCTCATCAGCGGGTAGGGGCAGGTGCCAGAGCTTGGCAAGCCTGTCTGCTAAGCAGACAGACTTCACGGAGGTCAACTCAGTCCTCACCCCAAAGGTCTACGATTCTCCTAGGACTCATACAGAACCAGCAGGTTTCTCGATGACATGGGAAGATCGCATTACTACTGTGATTCATTTGCAGGTAAGCAAATGTCTCTTAACCTAATTGTTAGCCTAGATCAAGGTTATTGTTTGAGGTTAGCATGTCCTCCACTTCTACCTTCCTACTTCATGAGAGAGACTTCATGAAAATATTTACATCGCACAGAATGATAGGAATGCATCTGGAACGCATGGAATGAATGACTGAAGGCTGGCACCAGTCTGAAGCACTTCCGGAGCCGGAGACTCGAGCACCTTGTTCCTGGCCCAATTTTAAGTGCCAACATTTTTCTTTTTAAGCAAAACATATTTGGCTTCAAGGCAGCAGCTACACAAAGCATGACTCGAACACTGAGCAACCAGTCTCCAAGACTTGACCATGAAAAGACACATCCCTTCCTCTCAGCCTCTGTGAATGGCGCCCTCAGACGGCGGTGTCACGCCGGCACCACCCACAGTGAACATGAGGATACAACGCAGACGAGCGTCAGGGGTGGCCACCAAGCTGAACGTACTGAGCTTAATTTAAGGCTGAATTTCAAACAAGTCAGCTCCCAGACCAAACGACATCTGCCAATCCCTCATGTTTTCAGGACACAGGGACAGCAAACTGAGTGCTGCGATCCTGCCGGGTAGAAGACTCAAGTCCGAACCTTACTGCTGCCATAACTTGGAAGAATCCCTTTGCTTTGTCAAAGAAACCCTCCTAAAAAAAGTACAATGCAATTTTTGGGAGAAGAATACTCCGTGAGGTAGAAAATACAGCACTTTGGAAAGGTCTCAGATCATTGGCTTCCCAAGGTGCGAGGCACAATTTGACACAGCGGAGGGAAGAGAGAGAAGCCGGGCTGCTCTGGGCACTCGGGGAGAGAAGGGTCTGAGGGGATCTCGGGGTTGCATCAGGTGCATCGGACTCCTCCAGGGCTGGATGCTGTGCTGGGTCAGGTCCACGGACGGTTACAGGAGACAAAGGAATGGGTCCCACTCTCTCAGGAAGGCCACTGAAAGTCCATTCCCATCTGCAGACAAGGTGGCCACACCAGGCGAGAGTAAAATCGGGCTGTAAGGGAGGCAGGGGGAGGGGCAGCGATCAGCACACAGGGTGACAGTGAAGAGCAACATTATGAATCAGCCACAACCTAGAAGGTGGAAAGGAAAACTCAGAAATGCCTGGAAAAAGGAGAATACTGAGGAAAGTCAACACTAAGCCTGAGAAATCCAATAGGCAGGCCCAAGACAGGACCTGAAATTCAATACCCCACTGCTTAAGAAGCAAAGCCCCATGATAAGGGGGCAAATTTTCAAAATCTCTGGGCCTTCTCTAGCCATTCACACAGGCTGTCACGTTCCCATGGAACGTGAGAGGGGGAGGTGCAACCACTTGTTGAAACACCTATTCTCTCCCTGACCGGTGTGGCCTGGTTTGGTTGGGCATTGTACCGCAAAGCAAGAGGTTGCCAGTTCAATTCTCGGTCAGGGCACCTGCCTGGGTTGCAGGTTCCGTCCCCAGCCGGGGAGCATGCAACAGGCAACCGATGGAAGTTTCTCTCCCTCTCTTTCTCCCTCCCTTCCCATGTCTCTAAAATTAAATAAATAAAATCTTTTTAAAAACAAACAAACAAAAAAACACCTATTCTCTCTGTGGGCTCACATCAACACCTTTCGAATACACGCTTCAGAAGCTCTCTGGGACTCGCATCTTCTCTTTCCTTAGAAGGCAGGAAGGCACATCGAGAAGAGTGTGGAGCAGTTCAGGGTTATACTATGGCCACTCCACCTTATTCGTTACGTATGTTTGGGCACGTTTCTTGACTTTACTGAGCTTCAAAGAACTTTCCCGTCTGAAAAGGGGGCGACGTTATTCCCTAGAGCAGTAACTGCTACGCAACTAGGGAAGAGAAATGTGGGTGGTCCTCCTTCCCTCTTGTTCAGAGACCTCTCTCTCTCAGGTCGCATGGAGGCAGAGCGGAGTCCAGACCTGGTAACAACCCGTCCTGATTTCATTAGGAAATACAGTGGACATCATGGTAAGCAACTCAACAACTGCTCAGTGACTTGGCACATCAGCTAAAAATAATATTCTGATGAGTCTCCTCATTCTTAAAAGTGATCCATTTACATTCTGAATTCCTGGAGTTAGGAATGGTAAAGGGCATTATGGATTAGCAAGAAATCTTTCAGCCAAGGATATGAGATATCCACTATCATGCCTTTGCCTGATTTTAACATCCTTTCCAATGAGAGTCAGAACAAAACTTGAACTTTAAAAGCAAAAAACTAATAATAATAAAGGGCTAGATGCCAAATGCTGGGGGAATAAAGAACCAATCAATTGATCATGGAAGACCTGTTGATGGCCTCATTGCTGCTTATCTCTCCGGAGGAGGGGATGGTTAGTGCTGTAATGTGGCTTCCAGACCCTCCGGTGACATGGAAGGCGGGAGGGAGAAGTGAAGGGTCAGTACAGGGCATCAACGTGGTAGTTCATACTGAGTCTTAGAAATACTTCTGCCCCGGCTGGTATGGCTCAATGGATTAAGCACCGGACTGTGAAGGAAAGGGTCATCAGTTCGATTCCCAGTCAGGGCACATGCCTGGGTTGCAGGCCAAGTCCCCAGTAGGGGGCAAATGAGAGGCAACCACGCAGTGATGTTTCTCTCCCTCTCTTTCTCCTTCCCTTTCCCTCTCTCTAAATATAAATGAATAAAATCTTTTTTAAAAAAGAAATATTTTTATCTACCCCAGTAATCCAACTTCTATGAATTTATAATAAAGACAAAATAGAAATGAGAAAACTATGTTCTAAGTTAGTCGTACTGTTAGTAACAGTAGAACAATAATAACAAACTCCAACACTGGGAAATGTGAAAAAATTGAGAGTACATTCACAACCTTGTGCTGCAAATCAGATTTACAAAGAGATTTCAGTGGTGTGGAATGATGCTTATAATTTTGTAACTGGGTTAAAAAAACTATAGGTAACTATCACTAGAAAACCATAGTCTGAACTGTATAAAACTACATCTGAGTGTGTCAATATGCCATAAGTTTATCACCCGTAATATTAAACATTAATTCTGTTCACCCTTTCTGCATTTTTATGAGTTTTTAAACAAAGAATACTATATTTTATTCAGAAAAAAAATAATGTTCAAGAAGTCACAGACTTAAGAGTCTTAAATTTTAACAGTCCCAATAACCGAATCTTTCTTATTATGTTACCACTGTACACATGCCGTCCTGATTCAGGGGTCAGCTGTATTCTTTTTACCAGATTTTCAAGAAATTAATAGGCTAAATTCTAAAGTCACCATCCTGCTAGGCTTCGTAAACAATGGTGAGTAGCCACCTTGTTGTACCGAGAGAAACTGAGATGTAGTAAAGGGCCCTTTTAGGTGCACCAGTATCTGTGTGTTCACACGTGGTTCAGTCACTTCTCTTTAAGCCGAGGTGTCTTCATGTACAAAATGTGGATGATAACAGCACCCATCTCATAGGGGTGAGGAGTCAGTGTTGTGTGTATACGGTGTTGAGTGTATCATCTGGCACAATTCAACACTCAAAAACGTTCACTACTAAGTTATTCCCAATCCCACCAGTCAGCGACACACAAACCCCTGGAGACCCCAACTCCAACTCAAAGCTTCATTTACTTGAAAAGGAGATGAAAGCAAAGCCCAACATCCATGAAATCCAGTGAGAATTCAGAAGACAACCCCCAGATCCCAAACACAACTGGTGCCCAGCTTAGAAGCATGCTTGCTGGGGAAGGAGCATGCCAACGAGGTGCTCAGACAGGCCAGGAATGGTGGCAAAACACACTAACAGGCAAGAGCACGGGCAGAATCCACCAGATAAGAACGAACAGGAGACCCAACCCATGGACTGCAGCCGGAACCCAAGAACAGAACTTTAAAGAGATGCAAGAATGCACGGGCAACTGCAAGGTTCAGAGAGCTCAGTGTGTGCGAGGACAATCGCAAGGCGGGAGAAGTGGAATTTGAAATCCCAGGCGAATGGGAAAGAATCCCAGGAAGCCAAAACAGAGCCCCGAGAACCTTCCGTTTACTTACTTACATTTCAGTGCAGCAGCCTCTCAGGCCGCCCTTACTTCAGCCCAACGGAAAGTCCAATAATCAACGCTAAAATGCCCAGCAACACAACTACTAGCACAATGATAATGATCAGTTTCTGGAGAGGGATGAGAGAAACAAACACAAGTCGTTATTCCAAACAACCAAAGAGCAACGATAATTCATCCAAAACCCAGCCCCTCTCACCTCGACAGTGAAAGCATCTTATCAAAGAAAACGGCCCACCTCTCTCCACGGACACATTTGTTAGGGTATTTTATGTTTGTTAGATTACTTCTTGGCTAGCCAGCTACTCCAGATGGAAACACAGAGTTTCTATCAGCTCTCGGCTCACACTGCGGTCTCCCACATGTGGACAGATGTCAGAGCAACTATCACGGAGCCACCAAGTAGCAACAGGCCAAGACATAAACTCACTTTTCCTTTTCAAGAAGGAATGTAAAGATGATTTTGACATAGCCCTCATGCCAAACTTCTGTCCATCTCTCCCATACAGTGCACCACCCCCTAACCACCCCAGTGGCTATGGATCAAAAAGTGTGATTATGGTTCTGCTGTGAACCAGCCCGGGTCCATCACGTAAAATAACTCCCCCACATCCTAAAACCCTGCACAAGCAATAAGTCAGAAGGAAAACAAGGAACAGAAGAAGAAAAATATCAGAGCCCAGGAGAAACAGAAAAGAACAGTCTAGAAAGCAGCAGCCACAGAGCTGGCTACCAGTCACGGGCAGGGGGGCTGGAAGGCCTGCAGCTTCAGCAGCAGGAAGCGGGCTGGGGAGAGAGGACAGTGTGGTGGAAAGAGCGTGATTGGAATCTGAGTCTGAACCCCAGTTCCTATGCTGACTACACGCCTGAAGCCAATTACTGAAACACTTCATCCCTGCCCCTCAACGGTTTCATCCATGAAGAAGAAGTAATAGATGCTCCATGAGATATAGGAGTAAGATGTTTACATAGCAACCAGCATAGCACTGGGTTCATGGTAGAGAAAAAGGGGGCAGAGCTGGGGCCTGTGGAGCAGAAGACAATAGAGAGAAGGTTTCTGAAGACAGAGGAGTCAAGTGCAGCATCTGAAAGCACGACGAGCTCTGTGCAAGCGCGACACCCGAGTGGTACATCCACTGTACAGAACTGCGTTCAGTGTGGGTTCCTGGGTGCGAGCCTGTGAGCCAGATCCATGGGAGACACACCTGGGAGGGGAGGATGGCTAGTCTCTAGGCCACACTGACACGGGTTTGGACAAGGCCGGGACAGGGAGAGAAGGCATAGGTTCAAGGACATGGGTGGGGGTGACTGGAGAGGGGAGAGGCAAGTAGGAGCAGCTGGGACGAAGGCGCTCACCCTCCGAGCTTCGCTCTGATACTTGACGGCCTTTTTGGTATCGGCCACGGCCCGCTCCACAAAGCCCACTGACTGGTCCATGTTGTTCTCAATACGGTCAATCATGGCTCCCTTGCCCCAGATGCAAGGAGTGGCAGCAGCACAAAAAGCGACAGATGGAGGGAAGAAAGAGCAAGAGACAGTGCACAAAATGGACTCCTCTCCAAAGGCAGCCGGAGAGCCTCACCTTCCGGGCCTGCCCCTGGTATTTCACGGCCCTTTTGGTCTCATCCCGGGCCTTCTCCACGTGGTCCACCGTGTGCATGACGTTCAGCTCTATGTTATCTAACATCTCCCCCTGCAAAGAGCAGACACTAGTCACCCTCGGGCACCCCGCCCCTGCCCCAGGGCAGCCCCAGCTATCCCCACATTATAAACTTCGATGCCGGGAGGAGCATCCAGAGAGCCTGAGTGCGGCCTTCCACAAGACACACTTCCCCTGTTCCCCTGTGACTGACCCACGGTTCCCGTCCTTGGTGCCACTCTCACTGAATCGCTTCTCTGTGACAGGTACTGGCTGGTCACCTGGAGCACACTGCCTACATGCCCGGTAACTACCTGTTGCTAGGGCGTTACTGGGATCCTGGCCTCTTGCTGGCCATTCGGACGGGAACCAAGTTCATTTGTCCTGAACTAAGTTTGTTCGCTACTATAGAATGGAGCCTGGCACACCACAGGTGCTTAATATAATAGTTGAGGCTGGGAACATGCGCTTTCTGTAGGAGACATTCCCAGGCCCCTTAGGTGATATACAGGGTGCACCCAGACTGTGTGGCTAAGACACAGTGATCTCTGAACAAGATTCCCAACCATTCCCCAGCTATCACTTCCTGACAGGAAGTTGTGACATTCCAACTAACCTCTGGCATCTTAGGATGGGAATTCTCCTCACCTGCCTACACTCTCCTCAGCCCAACCCCTCGCTCTATGGCAGTCCGTAAGCAGAGAAGGCACTTACCAGCACTTGAATCTCAAACCAGCTCCCGGCAGAGCAGTGTGGGGAGAAGAAAGAAAAGTGGGGCTGGAGGGACTAGAAACAGGGTCTCAAAGGCCAAAAGGGGCAGAGGACAGGCACCTGAGCCCTGAGCAGGGAACCAGCGTCAATGACCAGCTAGGCAGTGCGGCGGCTGCAGCCAGGTTTTGCCGTCCTTCTCCCAAGGGGGTTCTCAATCCTGTCCAGCTGGCCGAGCAGCTGCAGGTCCACAGTGACGGTGGCAGGACACCGTGACACCATACCGTGTCTGGCTGCCTCGTAAGGACTGGGCCGTCTGACTGTGTGACACTAACACCACACACGGGGACGAAGACTCGCACCCGGGAGAAGTGCACCCGGGGTGGGAACAAGCTGTCCTGCTAAGCTCTGCAAGTGCTTCGAGTTTTTATGTAAATATCCTGCTGTTCCCTCATTCACTGTGTTGGGTGCTCTAGTTCCCCAGCAAAAAGTGTCAACCTTTTTGGAAGAGCAAATACAGAATAAAAAACAAAATGGAAAAAAAATTAAAACTGCTACACCTAACTTTTCACTGCTAAGTGGGGAAAACAGCACATGTTTTCATGATTACCAGTGACGCAGTTCATACCAGGGGACTGTTTTAAGGCCTCATCATTAAAAGCCTGATTCTCTAATTAAGAAAAATAAATAAAGAGACCCTGCCTCTGGATGGAACTAGGCACTTGACAGACATATCAAACCCCATGTTAACTAGAAATAACTGTGAGGCCAAAGTGCCAGGAAAGAATGACAGACCCAGCCCGCCCCACGCGTCAGGGTTCAAGAGAGCACTCCTTTCCCTGGGATACTGGAATTCTGTGTCTCCATTCAGTAAATTCTGATCCTTCTCCCGCCCCGCCCCGCCCCACCTGGCTCCCAGTCCCTCCCTCATCATTCCCAGGAGACCATGAGCTCCGCCCCCTCCCCTCCCCCCCCACACACTGGCACCCACAGCCACTTACCTGGTTCTCCACCAGCATGGCGATGTCCATGAACATGTCATGAAGCTCCTTGATGCTGCTCTCCAGCCTCACAATGTCCTTGTGCCGTCCCTCGATCTCACTGAGGGCTTGCTTGGAAATCTGAGAGTCGATGATCTACGAGCGGCCCCACAAGGACAGGCCATCAGCCACCGCCCCCTGCTGAAGCCTTCACACACCCTCCCGCCAAGCCCCTCGCCTCCCCTGCCTCCCCACACCGGCAGCCCACCCTTCACTCGCTACCCGAATGGGACTCCCCAGTGGCCTCCTTCCTCTGCGGAGGGCTGTGCACCCCAGCTCCCGAGTCACTCACCCCGGAAGTGAAGATGGCAGGGTTTCCACTCTCCAACATCTCCTCCAGCTCCTCATCTGTTGTCTTTTTGCCAGCTTTATAACAAAAGAAAGACAGCATCAAGTACAAGGTCGAGGCACACCATTTCAAAAGTTCTCTGGAAATTAAGACTACGGTAACTCCACCACAAGGACCGTGGCCTTAACAACAGTCTGCCAATGATCTCCTGACTCATCTGTCTTCTGATTTCTCCCCTAATCCGATTCATCTTTAACACCTTCCTGTTAATTAGCAATTACCTTCCTGAAACATACACCTCACCATGTTCTTTCCCAGCTCAGAACGTTTACTGGCCCATCACTACACCAAGGCCCTCGGGACAAGGAGCTGGTTGCTGGGTGAGCCCTCCCTCCATCCCTGTGAACCTCACACTGCTTCTCCCGAATGCACAGTTTCCCAGGCCCAGGACAACCTGCCAGTCCTAAATACAACTGCGTTTTTCTGCCTACTTCCTTGTTCCTACAGTGTCTCCACTTACAGGGCGCGCCACCCCGCAGGCCCGTGTTCCACGTTACTCAGTTCCTAAAGGCCACGGCTCCATTAACGTCATCACCCCTCACAGCAACTAGCGCTATACCTCCCATTTCATAAATGTTCTTTGCGATCAAAAAGACACAAAAAATGGCATGAGTCTCCCAGACAGCAACTATTCGGTGTCTTTCCTCTATATGTAGGGAATGCTGGCTCCCGCACGAACAAAATCACTTGGGCCTGATACACACAGAGCCACCTTTCAGCCCAAGAACCAGCTTCCAGAAACAGCCAGCGCTGGAACACCTGTCCTGGGCGTGGCCACAGGGTGTGAGATGGAAGCCACAGCACAGGTGCTGCACCTTCTCCCCGGGTCTCATGACCTAGACGGACAGCCACACGGCAGAAAAACATGGAAAAGCATCCCCGAACTTCAGACACCTACTGATTTCCAGCTGCCGCTGGATTCGCCCTTTGCTGCGTTCACGGAAGTCCACCTGAGCCTCATTGTATTTGGTCATCACCTCCACAAACTTCCGGGAGAGGACGGAGTGCTGTGGGAATAATGTCAGATGCGGTGAGCCCCAGGAGGTGAGGAAGGTGGGAGGTCCCTGTTACAGCTTGGTCTCCTGCAGCACTGGCCTTGGAATCAAAAGACCAATGTATATTTTGCTTGCTTATTTGTTTTGTTGAGGTTTCACTAGGTTCCACTTGGACAAAGCCAAAGGGGGTAGGATCAAGGGTGGGAGGCGGGAATTGGGGGGGCGGAGATGGTGGGGGAGAAAATAGAGACAACGTACTTGAACAACAATCAAGAAAAAAAAAAGACCAGTGTATAAAACTCCACCTTTTGATTTCCTAACTTTACAGTAATGGAAGAGACCACTGACCTTTCCAAAGTACGTCTTCAGCATCTGTTTACCTGCCCTGCTGGCGTCATATGGTGATCGTGAGGCCAGACAAGATAATCTGTGCATCTCAGAGCCCGGCACCCACATGGCCCAGGAGCATTTTTCTGCAACAACGCTTGGCTTGCTTTCTAACGCTGCCAGACTCCCTTCCTACATCCAGTACCTACCAGATTACTCTTCCCAGCAGCCTGCAGCCTGAAGTAAACGCATCCAGGCTGCTCAGTGGTAATCAAACAGTCAAGGACCTCTGGAATACGGTACTACTTTCTCTACCAAAAACTCAATGTCCACTGCCCCACAACAGCCTTTTACCCAGATAGCTGCCCTTCTGCATGTTCATCTTTCACCGCTACTGCAGCCCTGTAGCCAGCACTATTGCTATCAACACAACACACACACACACACACACACACACACACACACACACCGCTCCTGTCCCCTTGCCTCTTTGGAGAACCTCTACCCCCGAGCCTGTCCCTGTGGGTGCTGTTACCCATCCAAGGCCCTGGCTCCTCTGGCTACCCCCAGTTCTTCCCGAGACCTTCTAGTGCTGAGAGCACAAGCATCAGGTCACGCCTTTGCACACTGCTCCCCTGTCAGGTCTTACACAGTAGGTTCCTTATGCCACTGGAATGTCATGCCAGTTCCTTAAGGACAAGGATCATGTCTTTGATGACCACCAACCAGACTAACTCCAAACTAGACAATTAATGATCATCTTTAGAGAGATTTCAGTTTCCTCCCCTATGAAACTAAGAGGCACGTGAAACCCTAAGCCGTGCTCTGGGAGCCCTGGGAGCCCTTCAGGGGTCTCCTTGCAGAAGGAGCATGTGGGAGAGGGGCCGGGAGGGCTGGACCCGTCCTCTGCTTCACCCTGGACAGCTCCCCCTTACCAGTTCTTCAACTGAGTTCCAAGTAAGAATTGTATGTTTTAAAAATCCTGAGCTAAGAAAGAGAATAAAAGATTGGACTAGACGATTGTTAGACCAGAGAAAGTCCCACCTGTGACTTCCGAATCCGAAGGTCTGCTGAGGAGCGCACCTCATCTTCCTCGATGTGCCGCTCCATATCTGGAGAGGAGAGGCGGGTTATTCTAGTGACACACCTGCTGCTCTCCTCCGAGACACACACAGTCCAACTGAAACCTCCTCGCCCCCTCTCAGCCAGCCCGTGAAGATGGAACGACAGGCAGGTACAATCTCAAAACGTCGGCTTATGTGTGCCCCACAGGCCTGGCACTGCACACCCTTTACTATATTACTGGGTCCTCTTTGATGGCATCTTAGCAGAGTGGTTAACAGCATGAGTCTTTGTCACCAGGAAACTTAGCCTCCAACCCTTGTCCTGCCACTTATTAGCTGTGTGGCTTGGGGAAAGCCACCTCACCCCTCATAGCGTTCCCTCACCATAAAAATGGAATGGACAACAGTCCCCTCTCGTGGCCCTGATGTGAAGACTCAGCGGGACTGCCCACAGACTGCCTGGCCCAGTGGCAGACACACTAGTACCACTATTATTGGAAGGTGCAACTGTGACCTCTACCTCTGACCTCCGCCCCCATGAAAACAGGCGTTGTGACTTGTTTGGGGGGAAGAAACAATAACTTGGGCTGAGCGATGCTGATTTCACTCTCTGACCAATAACACGCATTCACCAAATACACTGCACAAGAATGCAGACCGTAGCCATGGAACTCAGAGACCTTCTGGGCCCCCAGAGGAAATGAAATCTCTGACCTCAGCTTCACTGAACGATGCTCTGAACCTAAAGGGTGGGGCTGGGGTAATGGGAGGTGATATACTTGCCCTCCCCAAAAAGTGTCTACGGACTAAATAACATACTTTGCATCTATATAGCTGGACCAGTACTATTCAAATGTCTGTGGATGCTGGGGGAACGGAAAGGCTGAGGGACTAAGATACAGGACCACGTCACGCAACTACTCAGTGGCTGAGAACACACACGAGTTCCCATCTCCTAACTTCAGTCCTGCACTCTTTCAACCACGCTCGTGATCAAAAAGAGATAAATTTCTGGGGCTATAACAGGCCACTCCAGGGACAGTGCCCAAGCCACAGGCAAAGGTGGAACAAGTGGCGTCACTTCCATGGGGTTGAGGTTCGGGCCAGAAGAGCTGGACCCTGCGGATGGGAGAGGGACGGGAGGTGGGGGGCAGGCCTGCCCCCTTGGCTCCCTTCTTACTCTTCAGCTTGTTCCGGACGTTGTTGGCCCTTTTCTTGATCTCAGCTGTGAGCTGCTCTAGATCATCCTTGGTTTCTGGGTAAACAAAGGCAGGCAGGATCAGTTAGAAAAGACCAATCAATAGAGGAGCTGAGGCGCTCCCTCAGGCACCCATCGCCCAGACTAAGATTGGAGTCTCTGGGAGAAGAAACAATTTGTGAAAGACCCGTGGGGACAAGCAGCACTTGGGGAACAAAGTTTAGTCTGGCAGGTAACATGGGGGAGGACAGCAGGAAGGTGGCCAAGACGATTCCCATGTGCACCACTAACACATTCCAACTTTAATCTTTAGGTAATAGAGTCCCTGCAAAATCTGAACAGTAAAATAACAGTATCAAGCTTGTTCCTTGTTCTTATGGAATCCAAAATATAGCCCTAAATTCCACTCCAAAAATGTGAAATAATCAGGGGGGAAAAAGTTTGCCTCCATGGCAAACCAAATAGTACCAAATAGGTACCAAATAGGAAACTCGTGATGAGAGGGACCGAGGTGAACTTGAACCACCTTGGAGCACCTCATAAAAACCTGCGCGTGATCTGGAGGACTTGGACAGGGGCTGGGGGAAGCATTTCAGGCAGAGGAGATGGCACAAGCAAAGGGGCAGAGGCTGGGCAGAGATGAGGAAAGTAGAAAGCAGTAAGGGTCGCTGCTAGTCCTGAGAGTGACCAACGGGGAAGGAAAGTCTGGCCACGTGGATTATGCAGGGCCGTGAAGGCCAGAGCTGACCGTAACTGGGAGGGGTGACCTCAGACAGGATGCAGGAGAATGGGGGATGAGATGATGTGCACACCAGTGGAATGTAATGCTTACATACACTCCCCTGCTGTGCACAGAGAGAAGGAAAAACAAGACTGGCTCAGCCCCAGTGCCAAAGGCCGTTGCTGGGTGACTCAGCCCTAGGTAAACACTCACTGGGCTCTGGAATTGGTGCAGACAGAATGATACTGTAGAGTTTCTTAGCCTCCTCCACGTGCTCGGAGATCTTGTCAATGTTGAGCCGAGTTTCCTCAATCTGTCATCAGAAAGACAATGGCCTTTGTCATCAGAGGAGGAGTATGTCCGTGACTGAGGACGCCCAGGACTTAGCAGAGCTCCCTGGTGAAAGCTGCCCACCCTCTGGGTTTGGGGAAGAAGATGATGACTAAAGTGTCTTCTGCTTTTCATAGATAAAGTAATCCCAACGGAGTAGTCATTGAAAAGCCACGCCATTGCTCCCTGAGAGGAACACATCTGCCCCCCTTGGTCAGCAAGATTCAGGCCAGAGTCGAGAGGAGCTGGGAAAAGCTGTGAAGAGGAATCAGAGAAGGACCAACACACCTGATCAGGCAGATCCGTCAGCCCCCTGCACCTGCCCCACACCCCGAAGTAAGAAAGAGGATGAGGATGGGAGAGAGGAGAAAAGGGAAGGTGGCATAGAAAAGAGGTGCAAGGGAGAGAACCCACCTGGAGCGTGAAAAACAGAGAGAGAAGAATGAGAGGAACAGCAAGACAGAAACGGAGAAAGACAAAGGAGAGAGAGAGACTCCGCAGTGACCATATCGGGAGGCAGCCTGAGCCTGTTCGGCCTTTCCATCCCATTTCACTCGCAGCAGAATCCCAAGTCTATGCGACTATTGAAAAGGCCCGAGCTGCCACCTGTGAAATCTGGCAGCCTTAGAGGCATAGCCACCTCAGAATCGGGCCCTTGGGTGACCAGAAATTGTCTCCTTTACCCTTCCCTTCCCCGTTATCTCTGTATCAGACACTGGCTCCTCCTGCCAACTCATAAAACGTCACTGCATCACAGCAAGTTTCTATTTCCATCACATGACTGTCTTGCCAAAGCCATTACATTATATAAAACAGGACTGAGTGGGGCAAAGGCTTTCTAGAATGAAATACACTAACCATTGGTAAATGAACCTAACATATTTTAACAAGCCAGAGGCCTTAGATTTTGCACATGCAATGGATCAGACGTCTTAGAAAATATATTTGGAATCTTTTTCATAAATGGAAAAGCATCATGACCCAAAGTGTGGTCAACGGTATAAAAAATGAGACCGGAAGCTGCTAGGATGAGACGGTGGGGCCTCAGGCTCAGAATGCTCCGGACATTGGGAGACCGGATGGCAGGAGGGTTGTCCAGCCCTATGGGCAGGACGATCGAGTCCCGGTGCTCCATCCTCAGCCTGCCAGTGGGACTTCCTGAGGTTGGGGAGCACGTGCGTCCTCTCCCCCCCCCTCATCCTCTCCCCGCTGTAGCTGCTCCTTCCTCTGTCCTCATCAACCTCACCTTCTGGAGGCGTTTCAGAACCTGACTAATTTAGTCAGTGCACCACACAATCACCCTTTCGACCCAGGGGTGTCCAACCCGCGGCCCACAGGCCCCACGCAGCCCAGGATGGCTGTGAATGCGGCCCAACAGAAGATCGTGAATTTACTTAAAACATGAGGTTTGTTGTGATTATGTGTCACAGTGTATTTAATGTGTGGCCCAAGGCAACTCTCCTTGTTCCAGCGTGGCCCAGAGACGCCAGAAGGTTGGACGGCCGTGCTTTAGAGCTTCAGGATGGGCCACTGGCCGGTCATAAAACTTTCTTTTTTGAACTTCGTGTCTTTACTTTTTCCTGGAAGTGTTGGTTTTCTCAGAGGTGACTTTCTGGGTATTTCACAGTGGCAGCTACATGCAGTTAACTTCCTTTTGTGCATCTTCCAGATGACCAAAGGCTCCAGGGGGTGGGGAGGGTCTGGGGGAGGGAGGGCCCAGGACAGGGAACCTAGCAGTGCTGAACCTAACAGCTCAAGGCCATTTGTGTGTTTGTTTGGGCATGTTTTAAGTATACTGACATTCCCCTGCACAATAACATGTTTAAGAACTATAACTGATTTAGCACCTACCTGCATCAGAAACAAGAGCCTTCACGTCTGCCTGTGAAGTCCCCATCACTTTCTCCCTTTTATGCATGAGAACATTTTGGCTCAAACAGGTACAGAAACTCACCCAAGGCCATACTGCAGGAAGGTAACATCAAGGTTGAACGTAGCATCTCTTATGTACCAAGCCCTACCTCCTGAACCAGGTAAAGGTGCGAGAACCACCTGCAGGAGGCTCCTCCGCCTTTCCTCCCAGGTCCATGCACATCAGCCTGTGTCAGGTTATGTGCATGTTTGGCCCACAGTTTTGTGACAGGGTCACAGTGGCCTTTCACTGAGATCACGGGCCTTATTTCTTGGTTCTCCAAGCAACACTCCCTGTGGGAAGCTTTTCACACAAGGTGTGCTCATGGAACACTGCTGATGTAGGGAACCAACCAGGTTCTTTCATCAGTGCACTAAATGTGCAACTAGTACATCCTCACTGCCAGCTTATTGTATATTACTTTTTATTTGTCAGCAGTGTGGAAGTCCAGATATTATAGTTTAAGAAAATAAGCACCAAACAGACCAAATTCAAGTTTCAGCTCCACTTCTTAGCAGTTTCATGACCTTGAACAAGCCACTTACCACCCCCCTCCCAGCCCCAGTTCTCTCACCTGTAAAATGAGGATTATCATAGTTCCCACTTCCTAGACTTTTTGTGGGTTTAAATGAGTTAATACACATCAAGCACTTAACACAAAGTGCATGCTCAGTAAACACTGAGTGATGATGACAATGATACAATCCTAACCAGCAATGAATGCACATTTGTTAATGCCACGTACCAGGCTGGGCCCACACAGGGACATCTCATTTAACCCTCGCGCCACTCCTAATATTAACAAAATGCTCTGTGGTATCGTCAGGAGCCACCCACGGGAAATTAAGTAAGAACAGCAAGTTGACCATTCTTCAGGTTGGGTGTCTGCCTCAGGGAACAAATTATGATTACCACGGTACACTAATCACCATCATCTAATTAAAAGGAGAGAGTTATTTTCAAAGCATGGGTGGCCTCTTCCCTCTGGACCGAAGTAGCCAGTGGAATTTAATTAGACAATGGGAAGCAGAGAAAGTACTATGGCAACACTTTGAAGAAGTGGCTGATGTCGTGGGCTAGGGTAGAAAGCTTTGTCCATTCTACCTAAAGCATGTCCGCTTCCCCCAAGTTCCATGTACCTGTACCTCCTTCTAGTTAGGCATTAATTCCTGCATATTTATTTATTGAAAACATATTATGTACCACCCTTTCATGTGACAAAAGTAATGGAGTTGTAAGGGTCAAATAAATGACTCCTTCTTTTCACGATTCATTACTTTTTGCCCCAAACAGAACAATCCAAAACAGTCCTCATACTAGAAGTTCTGAGTCAAGTCCTCTTTGACTGCTTGGCTGCTTTGCTTTGGAAAACAAATACACATTGATGAGAAGGGACAGAGAGAGGTCTCAGTCAGCCAAGCAACAGAAGCCAAATCCCTCCGGGGTTTTATCAAGATTGGGACTAGTGTTTCAACGCTCGCTCATGAATGAAAAGGCATGAATGGTCTCGGAGTCCCACTGACCAGTGAAATCGAGTATTCTTAGACAAATCAACAGTGTATTTGGGCTTTGCAACACTCAAAATGTAGTCAGGAAAACAAAAACCTACCCAGTCGTTTTAAGTGAAGTAACGGACTACAGGGAATGCTTTACACAGAGACGGACGGGCCCAGAAGCCAAACAGAGGACAGTGAGACAATCTGGAAATTGGCAACGGCAGGTGGGAGGAACAAAGAAGGCAGGCAGGGCCACCTGGGCCTGAGGCCAGGCCCCCTCTGACGGGAGCCAGACCACAGGGAAGTGGACCAGCAGAACGGGACCATGGAGGTGGGGTCCGTCGAGGGAAAGTTGAGTCCGTGGGAGAGACCGGTCTGGGGAGGAAAACCATGGCCTCTTCCCTCCTCCATGAGTCTTCTGCCAAAGTCCAACACCCCGAAGCCAGTTGGCGAGGGAGCCTGGGAATTGAGCTCCCTGACATGCAGAGCGGAGCACGGGAAGGGCGGGGATGGATCTGAGAAGAAAGAGGCAAAGAATCGGCCAGGGCTTCCTGCCTGCCTAGTGAAGAGCCCAGAAGTGCAGAACCTACCAGCTCGCCTGGTCATCCAAACAGTCTACATAAAGAGAGAATCAAAGAGTATTCAACCTGCTATCCTTGACTTCGTGCCTGGATTTCCAAGTTACATGCATTCACTTTGAGGTTCTTAGTTTTAACAAACATCAAGCCCACCTAGCGACAGCTGGCCTCCCAGTTCCTCTAACCAGGTGCGCCCCACCCTCCGAAGCCCCACAGCACTTTGCCTGCACTCGGCCGCTCTCATTTCTCCCCCCACCCACACACTCAGATCTCCTCAAGGGCGGCGACCCACTGGTTCCTCTTAGACAGCTTGACACCCATCACCGTGCCAAGTACGTGCTGTGGCTCCACAGCAGAGACGTAGGTAACCACAGGAAACAAGCACACGCCACTGCAGGACTGTCCTGCAGACTTTTCTTAAGCACATCCAAAAAAGAAAACTTTCTGACAGCATTTTCCAAAACGTATGCATTCATCCTTGTTAAGAGAAGTCACATGTCAGAAAGGGTTCTGTGAAAAAAATAAACAGGAAGTGAAGCAGGTCTCTTTCCCGCAGGACTGCTTGGAGCCTTGGGTAAGTTAACCTGCATTTCACGTCTCCATGGCAGGAGGGAGTATGAAGCATTTCTCAACACATTCGCTCCCAGCAGTCCTTTCTGTGTCTCACACTGCTGTCCCCGACACGTGCTCGGATGTACCAAACAGCCACCCCACCTGCCCCCGCTCTTCTTGTTAAAAGAACTCTGGTTCTGTCTGGGCAGCAGTGCTGCCAGCCCCGGAGGATGAGTCATGGCCAGTCCTACGGCAATCCCGGCAATCCTGTCCCTTTGCAACGGAGTCACTCTCCCGGTCTCCCTTCCAGCTGGGAGTGGCCACAACCATGGTGATCCACTGCCGGCCAATGGGTAACAAGGGAAAGGCAGCTTGGAGGATTTGGGTCCTTTTCCTCCCTAATAACTAGATCTTTGAACTTTCCTAGCTGCCCCGCTAGTGCAGGCTGAGAGCACGTGGAGCTGTGCCTCTGTGATGGTTTTAGAACACAACACAAATTCTTTCATGCTCCTCTTGTTGACAGGTGGGATCCCATGTGGGGACCTTTGGAATCCCAGGGGCCTGCGCTGCTTCCACAGCAGAGTACAGCACAGGTGATTTCTGCAGCTGGGACGCTGGCATTGGGCCTCTGAGTCTGCGTGAGCCATGCTCACACTCCTGACTCCGTCCTGCTGAGAAGTCCAAGCCACAGAACGAGGTCAGGTGTAGGCACTCCAACTGACAGTCTCTGCTGAGCTTCCTGCATCACTCTAGTCCAGGCACCCATGTTAGAATAAAGGCATCTCTGTCAGATGCCAGCCTTTGGCTGCACAAGTCTTCGCAACTAAGGCACCAGAAATTGTGGAGCAAAACTCACCCACCTCCACTGTGCCCTGTCTGAATTCTTACTCCACTGACTCTGTCAGCGTCACCAAAGGGCTGGTGACACCACTAATGGTGACAGCAACCTGTTATACAGCAATAATCAGAACAGACCCTGTCTCTCAATCCTAAGGGACAAGCCAAGAGGATCAGAAAGATACTGACCTAGACCCCAGCACCTCTACCCCGCTGCACCGCCCCTAACTCCACATCCGTGCATTTGTGAAAATAATTTCCTCTTTATTGCTTAAGGTGCAGTTACTCAAAAGCATCCCTAAGAGGTACACCATGCCACCTCTCAGGGACCCAGCTTCAGGCCAGAGCTCTCATCTTTCTTCCCATGGGCCACTGCACCGGCCGACTTACTGATCTTCCTGCTTCTGGCTTGTCCCCCTCCACGCACTGCCACTAGAACGACTTTCTAAACACACTGTAATCCCATTACTTCTTTGCTTAAAACCTTCAAAGGCTCCCATCACTTGGCAGGGGGTTGTACATATAACTGCAGAATCATCTGGAAGAACTTCAAGAGTCTGAGCGATTCCTGACTCCTGTGTGTGTGCAAACTGCTCCCAGGTGACTCTGATGGCTGAGTCCAGTTAGAAACCACTGGAGCCTGCCCCTGCTTCCCTTTCCCTCCTTCCCGGCAGAAAGCAAAGTTTCCTCCTCTGGGCTCCCATGTTCCTACCTCATTAACATTTCCACAATCGCGCAACTTTTAAAAACATTGTCACCCTCACCAGACAAGGGGACACCAGAGGGCAAGGACGCCGTCACATGGAATGTTCCCTCCCTAGCACCTAACCCACTCTCGCGGAAGACAGTGTCACTCATGGATGATGAATGGAAGAAAGAACAATGAGTGGATGAGAGAAGTTGGAACGACAAACCCCTCGAGGTCCTGCCGTCTCACACACGTTCCATTCCCTCTCTCTGCCAACTGAGAAAGCAGAGCAAGGGAAATACGGACAACTGCGAATTAGACAAAAGTCTTAGGTTTATCATTTACTAGACCCTGGCTTACCCAGCCAAGGAGGCCTGAAAACCCAAGGGCCAATTTTTTCCTCTAACAACCGAGACGCTGGAGAACCCACTGGAGTTTCAGAACGCAAACACATCTGGAAACCGTCCCGGGACTGTGACTTCACCCACACCTTGCGAACACCTCTCTGACCACCTGCGATTTGCACGGCTGGTCCTCAGCAAGTAGCCGAGGGTGACCTGCTTGCTGAAATGAGACCAAAAGGCAGGCCTTACCACGAGAGTGACTTCCCAAGAAATCTACTTAGCTATGTCCCGCAGTGTCATGGTTCATACAGGGTGTCTTCCCCCGTCACAGAGAAACCTCCTTCTGTCCCCAAACCCCCATCATCTGGAATGCACTTTATTTCTCCTTCAAGGGTATTTCTAGACCATACTCTATAAAATCAACTCTGCGGCCCACTTACTCTAAATACCTTGGGGAACACGATGGTGAGAAGGACCAAAATCGCTGCAGACACACTCAGCGTACACCAGGCACCGTGCCAGCAGGATCACACGACTTTCTCGTTTTATACTGATAATGACCAGCAGGACTGGTCTTGTTTTAGAGGAAACCGGGTTTTTGAGCAGTTGGACAACTTTTCCAAGGTTACACCACTAGTAACGGGCAGAGCTGAGACCGACACCGGGGACTGCGTGGTGCCAGGACCTGTCGGATCTCTTGCCACGGCCCGCTCCCTCCTGCCTCCCTCCCACTCCACAACGTGTCCCTTCTGTGCTCATCAAATCGAAATATCTGATGAGAGAGAAGGAAAGGAGCACCGACCCTGCCCACACCAGGGACTCTCTGGGCGTTACCTCCTTTAATCCCCAACAAATCTGTGAGGTGGCTATTTTTCTCCCCATTTCACAGAAAAACCCACTGAGACTTAGAGAAGTTAAGGAGTGAACCCAAGATCACAGTTATGGCAGTTAAAGAATCACATTCAAAGACTATACTCTTTCCACCCCCCAGTACTGTCCCCTTCTGCTCCCTAAATAGGACAGGGCTCTTTCTTTCTAAGTGACAAAAAAAGCATGTGACAAAGAATAAGCCACGAGAAAAAAGCAGCCCCCAAGACCTCAAGTCTCCAAAAACGCCCATCACCCACCAGTGCTTTTCAGTCTCGACAGTGGTCTCCAGGCACGGGACCTCCTGCGGGCCTCACAACAGCCTGGAAGGGTGCGTGCTAACATCCCTGATTTCCAGAGCACGGATCAAGGCCCAGGCGGGTCAAGCAACTTAACCACCTCATCTGTGATTAAATGCTTAAAGATGGACACAGGCCATGTTTTGGAGGCTGACGCCAACCGTCTTCCCACCTCCCAAGGAACGCTGTCTCTCAGAGGCCCTCTTACTGGTTTAAGAGAAGACACAGCACAGTGTCCTTGGGTAAGTAAGATTCTTTATCCCTTACTCCTTATCTCCTTAGATTAAGTTCTTGATTGTATCTGGTTCTCCAAGTCCAGATCAGAGGGACAAGCTACAGTGACGTAAACATCTCAAGTCTAACCCAACTAGTAAACAGAAAGACGTTTCCTTCCATGATCCACACCTGGAACTAAACTGAACGCATAAAACACAGATGTGTGATCTTACTTCGACTTCTCAACCTAAAGGACAGGCCCACCCACAGGGACGGCGGGGCTCTGTGGAACATCCACAGCCACCTCCCCGAACAGGGCAGCACGTGCTCAGGGTCATTCTCACAGCTGCTTATCACTCTGACCCGGGAGTGGGCCTGCACCGTCCAGCCTCACTCTTGGCCGGTTAGACAAGAACCAGAGGATGACTCTTCTACATCCACCAGCTAGAGGAAGGGAAGCACCCTCACACCCCGCTTCTAGGGAATATGATGCCTCTTGTCTTCTTTCCAAAAAAATATAAAAGCCATAAAAAGAAACCATAGTCTGGTGGCAGAAACTTCAGTGCCTGAACTTTCTTTGGTTTTGTTCTTTTTGTTTCCAAGTATTGTTATTGAGCACATACATGTATCTCAGATGCTACACGGAATGTTTTAGAAATATTATCCTTTTCAATCCTGATAATAACTCTCCAGAAAATTATATTACCCATCCAATCTACAGCTGAGAAAACCAAGCCTGCTAAGAAATGTTCCCAAGATCAACAGCTGGTGGGAAGCAGGGCTGAGATTTGAACCCGGGTTTACCTGGCTCCCAGGCCTGTGCCCCTGCCCGTGACCCACCACCCCCACAGCATTCCAGCCCTCACTGTCTACCGTAGCACCTTCCCAACAGGGACCTTCAAAACCAAAGACTGCGGGAGTCTGTAGCCATGCGCAACCGGTCTTCACCCCTATTCAACTGCAGAAATATAAGCCAGTGGTTTCTTGATCTTCCCATTACCACTAGAATTAAGTCCAAAGAACTAAATTTTGTGAAATAAATCTGAGCTGGATGAATCACAGGCCTGAAAATGCAATGTGTTTTATCCCTGTGGCTGAGCCCCCATGGTTGGTCCTGTACTCAGGTTATATAATTTAACAAAAAAAGGATATCACTAAAAAGTAGTCATGTCACATAAGAATAAGACTTTAAAAGCAGCTCTTTAATTACATGTCATTTACCCTCTGCTGACTTTCTCCCTAAGATTGAAAAATCCAGATCCTCCCAAGTAAGTATCGGAGAGACTCTCCTTGTAACATCTTGGTCTGGCCACCCCGCCCCAGTGAAAGCCTGACTTTCTTGGCTTCCCTTCAGAGATCTGAGGGTTTTTACTCTTTGCCAAGGATGCTATGTTTCCTTATGTGCACTCAGAGGGAGGCGGCGGGAGGTCGCCTACCTACCTCAGAGAAGAACTCATCCATGAAAGCGGTGTTGTCAATGGCGATCTCGACCTCGTCGGCATCGTCGTCCTGTGTCAGCTGTTTCTGCGAGAGACGAAAGGAGCAGGGTAAGACCAAACACACAAGAACTCGGCCACGGCACTGAACGCTCACTAAGGACAGGAGCTGGATCCACGTTCACCGTTTTGCATATATAATCTCCAAAACTCAGAACGGCTCTGTGACCTGTCAGACTCCAAGGCCACACTGTCTGAATTTAAATCCTAGTTCCACTGTTTACAGGTTTTGGGTGGGTTTTTGTTTTTTTTTTTGGTAGGTTAGGCAAGGGAAGGATGGGCACATTACTATCCTCACTGCACCTCAGTTTTCTTACCTGTGAAATGCTAATAATAACACTGCTAACTTCACAGGCTTGTTTAAGAAATCAGTAAGATAATCAATGATAAAACACTTCTGCGCAGTGTCTGGCATGCTGTAAATACTCAATAAATTGCTAAGTTTGGTGACAGAGACATTACTATAACTCATTCCAAGCAAAGAACCCAAAACAGAGAGGTTAAGGAACTTGGCCGAAGGCACAAAGCTAAAACGTGGAAGCTGGCGGGTCTGGCCCATCCGGGATTTGGAGCCCACGTTCCAGCCCTTTCCCCACACTGTCCAGTGCGTGAGCCGCCCCACCAGGATCTCTTAGAACAGCTTCCAGCCACGGTTCCTCCAAACACTGGATGCAAATTCTCACAGCAGGAGTGAAGATTTTCCTGTTTTTAGAAGCACTTACTGCAAAGGAAACGGCGCTTTGTGTTGTTCCCTGAGTTCATGTTTACAAGGAAAAGGAAGCTCTACCTCCAGCCCCCAGCCACCCTTAGAAACACCAGCTTTCTTAACCTCGCTCAGTTTCCTCTGCAAAATCACCAAGTGGCTATCTAAAGAAGGGCTTCCCCTCCCACCCGGCATCCAGGGCCCGAGCATTGGCTCCATTCTTCCCAAATGTTCTTCCCAGACCACTGCTGCATTGCACGTGGCCCATTTCTAAGGACAGAGAATGGGATGTCAGCAGTGAAGGTGGGGAGGGGTAAACCCCCTACACCAGCTTCTTCACCTTCAGTGCCCTACAGCCTCCTAAGCCGAGACACATCACTCACAAACACTCAGAACTCCACGGGCAATGAAAGCCACCAGGGGCCTCTTTTCTTCACCTGCTACCGTCCCCCTGATCTGCAACACAGAGGGAGTTCCTGGGAAGTCCATTACAGTCTGGGACTCTCCAGGCATCCAGGGAGCCTCTTTTGACTGGTGCCCCATCACCTCATTCTGTGGCTCAACTGGAACCATCAGCCACCCAAGTTCAACAGCCACGTTCGGAGGAGTTAAAATTTGAGGCACTGCTACAGTCCCCACAACGTCTTCCTAAAACTAAGAACTGATCATGCACTTCGCCACTTAAAGTCACTCGATGACAGCTCACCTCCGAGGACTAAAATTCCCACTGCCTACTGGGGCACGAGGGGCCCTTTAAGATCGGGCCCCAGCCACATCTCTCCCTCTACAAGGGACTCTCTCCACCAGGCACTGGGAATTCCTTGCATTTCCGGGGCACGTCATTCTTTCGTATTGCTGAACTGTCACACTCTTTCATATTTCGAGGGCTTCCTCCTGAAATGCATTTGTCCAGCTGGGAACTTCTTCCTTAGCCTTTAAAACTCAACCTCGGACAACCTTACCTGTCAGCCGTACCTGACCCTCCCCCACCGCCCCCCCACACACAAAATTCAAAACCTCCCTAAGCTCCCAGTGCATTTTGTACAAACTTCCATAGCAGCCAACTCCGCCTACTATGAGTTGTCCCTCGATTTATGTGCCCTTCCCCCCACTGCCTGTAAACTCCTGGAGGGTCAGGACTACCGTGTGTGTGTATCTCCTGTGGTAGCTCCCAGAACTCCTTCCTTCATGGAGGTACCCCTCACCTGCCCACCTGATTCTGGAAAGGCTCTCAGTCCTGACCCAGGCCCCCTGAGGAATGTGAATTGTGAAGGGAAGAGCAGACTCGACCAGCGTTGGCAGACAGAGAAGTCTGCTCGATTTCCAGAGCTGCCCTGCTGCTGTCCTTCCCAGGCCACACCTTGGCTTGGCGCAGGTTCCCCAGACCTTCCCAGATATACTTCCAAAGAGCAGAACAGTATTCTTCCACCTTGTTTAAAACCCATTTGGGCAGAATTGGCTTTTTCCACTTGCAATTAAAATTATTTGTACTTGCACTCTGACTGGTGTGGCTCCATGGACTGAGTGCCCTCCTGCAAACCAAAGAGCAGCAGCAGGTTCGATTCCCAGTCTGGGGTATGTGCCTGGGTTGCAGGCCAGGTCCTTGGTTGGAGACACGTGAGAGGCAACAACACACTGACCCTTCTCTCCCTCTCTTTCTCCCTCCCTTCTCCTCTCTAAAAAATAAATGAAGCATTTTTTTAAAAAACAGTTGTACTTGTCATTAATCTACTCCACACGTATTCTGGGCGCTGACCATACACTGGATATGTAACAGCAATGTAGTCAGCTCTAGCTGAGTAAGTTACTAGTGTCCACACGGACTAGTAGCCTGCTTTCAGCCGGCAGCTTCTCGTTTGAGAGAAACGCTCCCCTGACCCCCTGCCACCAGTACTTGGGCGTCTCGGCAGCCTCCGGAGAGCTAATCCCCCACGAAGGGTTTCCGTGGTCCTCGCTAGCAAACAGGAGCCCAGTCTTCCTTGGGAAGCACTTGCTGAGTGTTTCCTCTCTTCAGGGGTCTCCTACAGACCCGTGCTGAGGGGGCGCACCCGACGTATGTGTGTGTCCACAGACACGCAAGTGCGTCCACTCAGCTTTCTTCAAATAGACACGCATGCTAAGAAGGCGGGATAAGGCTACCATCACGGGATGGACTGAGGGACGTTTCTGGAAGCTGAGAACAACTGTGTCCTTGAGCATGAGAGGCAGGCACTTAGCTCTCCAGCATGACAAATGTTTTAAGACCCCGAGAATTTCTACAGGGATCCCCCACCTCCAAGACAGCCACCCGTTGGCTGTCAGCAGATTCCAGCAAGGCAGCCTGGCCCATGTCCCGTGAGACACCATGTGAACTGGGAAAGGGGACGCCTCTGGCAACTCACCACCTAGGTCCAAAACCTGCTGCCAGGGGCTGGCTGGGAGACCTCAGTCAAGTCCCTCACTACTCCGAGGTTTTTCCCTGCAAATAGTCATGACACCACACACTTTATCACTCTTATGCGGACGGAAAGCTTCTAGCGCAACACTGGGCACACTCCAGGGCCTAATAAACAGATGTCAGCATTCGAGTCACTGAGCGGCAAAGACCTGATGCCGAAAGGGTGAGTCCCCCCCCCCCCACAGGAAGTGCTCATAGTCAGGCTCAGTGGGTGAGATGGACGGCGCTGCGTCATGACGACCAGGGTTCCTTCACACCTTGGGCACTTCACCCATGGGCTCAACATCTCTGAGCCTCAACGTTCTCATCTACAAAATAAGAGCAATAGTGTCCACCAGGGCTTCTGTGGGGATTAACTAAGACACCACTTAAAGTTCCTTAGGTGGTGACCGGCACATGGTAACAGCTCAATAGAACACCTGCATGTAAGATCTCGCCAGCTTCTCCACGGTTTTAACCGGGATCTGAGTACCTTTAAACAGGAAAGGGGGCGGGGAGGGAAGACACAGGACTTGTGGAGGTCCATGCAGCCTGACAGTCTATCGTTAAATTCTCTCGGAGACAAGCAAGACAACGCCTAACACCAGACAGTGCGTTACAGATTCAGCAGGAAGAGAACAGTTTGCTGAACCCATGCTCCTGGGAGCTCCCCCCACTGTGGTGGCTGCTTCTAACCACATAAAAGAACATCAACAACACAGCAACCACGTGTAGATCAGAAAAGTCAGGGAAGAGGGCTTGATGATGGGGTTGTCTGGAGCCATGTGACCCTGGAAACTGCCACCACGCTTCTCGAGGAAGGGGGCCTGGCAGATCCCAGAGCTGGGACTCCTTCCCTTGAGACCGAGCTGTGCCTTTCAGACCAGGAGGCTTCGGGGACCCCAAGGGCCCTTTATCTTCAGCCCACACGACTGAGCCCAGCCAAGAAGAAAACTTCAGCATCTTTATCGAACAATCAAGGCGTGTGGTAATAGGAACGTTCCAGTAGCTGCAACATCGGCCACAGTTAAAAAAGAAAGAAGCAGTGTAGGCCAGACCAACGGCCCACTTCCTGCCCCCACAACCTGACCCCAGCCTCCTGCTGCCTCTCCCGCCAGGAGGCCGGAGGTATCATCAGTGACTTAGGCAGCCCTGAGCAAGAGCCCAGGACCTATCTAGCACCCACCTTTCAAATGTGTCCCACAATTCAGCAAGGGAGTGAGGGCAGCCGGGGCCAAGCCCTCCTCTCGGGACAGAAAGTAGAAAGAGTTCAGGGGCCCAGAAGTCAATATGAAGTGATTTCACCTGCGAGTGCTCTCACCCTGCTCTCCCCTGCCTTTCTCTCAACTGCCTCCTCGGCCACCCTCAGTCTATTTGACTGTGGGTCCCTTTTCGCTAGCTCCTTCAATATAAATACTTGCCACTTCAAACCCCTAGTAGGAGCTGAGCGGCCACAACACTGATTTACATAAACTATGTCGACAAAACCCATCTGTATGCTGAAGTTGAGAACCTGAGGTCAGAGAGCGTCTGTGTTATCTGAGGGCTCCCAGCTATTGGCTTGCAGAGTCGGGGCTCAAGCTCCGCTTGTCTGTCCCAAGCTCTTGCTAACTCCACTGCACCCTACTCACAGCAGCCCACTGCCGAAGCAGCCAGCAGCCCCACCCTGCAGAAGCACCTGGTGGGAGAGACAAGCCGTGGGCCTTGGGCACAGCACTTGTCTCCGTTAAGCCTCGGTTTCCTCGCCAAGTAGCATTTAGCTTTCTTTCCAATGCGGCTTTTGTGGAAACCCAGGGCACCTGAGATGTGCCTCAGATGCCACTCAGGGAAGTCAGGGAGCGTGGAGTCAGGCAGACCGGTCCTTTCCCCCAGGTCAATCTGCATAGCTCCACTTTTTATCTGCTTTTTA